CCTATCTTTTTTGTATAGCAGGGACTAAATTATTACAGGATGAATGCAGTATTTTATATTACTATTAATTTATATTACATGCCTTGTTGACAGCGCTTGGTGTATCCCCTATCCCCCTTCCCACCCCACTTCCCAAGGAAGGGGGCATGAAAAGAATTTAAGCAAATTTTAAAAATGCAGCCAAGATACATACTTCCATTTTCTACTTCAGAAACATAAAGATACCACCATGCAAAAGCTAACATCAGAGCCTTGTACACCACTCATAACACAAGGCCCAATATTTAAATGTTTTCACTACATCAGTAGTCTTTTGTCTCTGGGGAACAAAGAGGGTATCTTACTCAAACACGAAACTGGTACAAGAAACTTGCCATGGCATATGACTGGCCTGATTGGTCTATAAGGACATCTGAAAGACAGTTGCCATAAGCAGTATCTATTTACCTATTGTGGAAGGCCACACGGTGGAAATACGTTTTTGTACTTAGAGGCTGTTGACACTAAAGGTAAGACAGAAAGATGAAGGCTGACACTGGTCACTCACTAAATGACAAGGACAACCAACCACCTTGGATGTGATTGGTACCAGAGCAAAGACCCAAAACTAGACTTTGTAAGCTCAGCCTTTAGAAGTATCTTTCCTTACCTCCTCTGCCTCTGTATAAACACCGCATCTCACCTCCATATAAACAATTGTAAAATTGAATAGAGTTCTGGAGAGCATGTAAGTGTATCGCATCAAAATCACAGAATGGCTGCAACACTGAGATTCATAAAGATAAGGGTTCACTATTGTCAATCTTATTCCAAAAAGCTATCCAAATACATGCTTTAGATATTCAGGAAGTGATGCAAGTCAACATAAAAAAAACTAGCAAAGTACCTCAAACTGTTCTCCAAAGACATAGCAGCCTATACCTTACAGTTAGTTACCAGTTATTTCCACTAAAAGAAAAGCACCTGCAAAGGCAACAGAAAGTAAGAACAAAGAGACTTAAAGACTGAGAAAATAGAACTGCAATCATTTTAACTATACAGTTGGAGTAAACAGCACAAGGACTTAACAACATTTTCCAAATTGAAGCTTGCCCCTGCAACAATGACTTTATAGGAAGTTAGGTAAAGCACGACACCAAGAAGTCACCCATAGTAGTATGCCCAAAGAAAACCAACTCTCACTCCTCCACACACGCTTATTAGCAAGATTTTGGGCATGTTTGAGGAAAAGCTTAGTATCCACATATTCAGTAGACGTTGTTATACATGACTTCCCAGTATCATTAGTTCCACTGTCGATAAGAGTTGACTCCTCTCAAACAGCTCCATACATCTATTGCATAGCCCTGACACAGCCTTTGACTATACAGTGAAAAGATGCCCCCTTCATTTTCACAGTTTAGAACTCTTCTGCCCTGGCACCCAAGGCGTGAGCTTGTACTATGTCACAGAACCATGACATCAGGATATCTGAAAACTGATTAGCCAAGATCATAACAGTCCAAGGATCAGGATGTGCCAAATATTTAAATGCTCTCAGTGCAAACTATTTATCAAACTATAATCTAAACAGTAACAGTGAGCACAAACTTTAAAGAAAAAAAAAATCAAATTTGGTGAAAAAAATGCAAATCTTCTCCTCCAGAAGCTGCAAAAGAAAAGCAATAGAAACTATGTGGACTTTCCAGTGCCTTTGATTTAACAACCTAATATTCTGTAATTCCCAGACACAGAGCTCACACAGGAATTAGTTAAATCAGTTTATTGCAAAGGGAGAATGAGTTATAACAAGGAGGACAGTAATACCTATAGTGTGGAAGTACAAAACAACAGCCGTGCCAGATCAGAGCAAAGGATCCTCTGGGCCAAAACATTTCTGCTACAGCAGTCAAAAGTGAACATCCCGGGAACAGTGCAAAACCAGACAAGTATATAGCCATATTTCCCAAAACACTTTTCCAACCTTCAGCAAACTGACACTTCAGACACTTTCTGAGCCAGAAATGGTGCCTTTACACTAACAACCTTTCTTTTCTCTTCATTTGTCAAGTTCCAACTTAAATTTAGTTAAACTTTTAACATTTCTTGAAGCAAGACAGCTTGAATGTCAATGCTTATTTATATTTTGCATGAAGAACCTATAGCAGTTGCACTGAAAATACAATGAAGAATGAATAAAAATAACTTACTGCATAAACACTGTTATTGCTACCAAAAAAAAATGAAAGGGAGGAAGATAAAAAAAGGGTTTATCACACAAAAGAGGCTTGTCTTAAAGATGATAGAACTTTAAAAGCACCTCAGGAATTTATTACCATTATTTTATAAACACAATACTTGACTATTTAAAATATAGCTTTCATAAAGAAGCTATAAAAGCTTATCACAGCCTTGAAATGCAGGCCAGTCTGAAAATCAAGGTCATGTACACTTACTCCAAGCCAGCCTTGCAGGAATCTCAAACATTTACAGACAAACAAGCACTCTCCTCAGGCCACTCTCTATAAAGCATGAAGAAGGAAGAAAACCTATCCTCAGTTTAGTAATCATGCAGCTTCACACTGCATACTCAAACTTCATCTTCTACACAAAGCCCTTAAACTGCCAATGACAGCAAACACTTTGAGCTCAACCTTAACCTGCACACACAGAAATTTAGGTCAAACCCCAACTCTGTTTTTATTCAGGTTACAACATGCCCCCTTCGCAGCAGACAGCAAATCTTAGGTTTTGACAACCTTCCAGCACCATCCTACATTTCCTCCACAGTTTTTCATTCCTTTGGCTCACTCTCTACCCACTCACTTTTTATGCATCACTCTTCAAACATCAATCAGATGTTTTGTTCAGAGAGAAAGATATTAATCCTTCATTTCTCTACTCTATTTACACACTACTGTGCTCACACCAAACAGCATTAATAAAGTGTTGTCCCTCCTAGTGATTTTTCGAGGGCCGAGAAGTTACTCTGTCCACATTAGCATACTGACTGCTCTCTTGTATAGGTACAGCAAAGAAGGTCGGAGAAAGCTGCATAACTTGTCACTGACACTGCTTACACCGTTTCTTGCAGAAGCTGGTAGGTGGGGAGGAGGGATCACACTACAGATAAAGAAAAGACAGTCCCGTGATTTAGACAATTTAATTATAACCCAGAGAACTAAGCTCTATTCCTCTCTCCTCCACATAATCAAAAGTCCCAAACCATAACCTTTGTATCATTTAAGTAGATGTCACACATTGTGCGAACTTTACTCTTTGAACATTTAACTGCAAGTACAATCAAAGAGAATCATGTACTGGAAAAAGACCACCCTAAAACTGCTATATATTCTGATGGAATGGAAATGGATATAAACATCTTCAACTGGGCACAGAAAATGAGTGATCAGGATTCACACTACTGACAGACTTTATGTCTCTACCTACCAGAAGGTCTTAGGTGTTTGGGTGGGTTTTTTTCACTGTTGAAGTTCACACTTATTCTGAGAAACTCTCATAATAATGCAGTAAAAAATCATGGAAAAATAACACTGTCCTGAATAAAAAGAGATTTGAAGTAAACTCACAAATTATGTGGACAAACAAGAACCCTGAATATTTACCCATTTACTACAGCCAACAGTACTACAAACTAAATAATAAATCAAGGCAATAAAAAACACAGGTCCTTAGAGAGATCATGCAGTACACACATCAGCAGTGCACGCTGCTCGCTTCTGAGCAGCTACAAATCTGACTTTTTAATTCTAAAATATTATGGATTCTGTTCCAAAGTAGACAGTTGTCTTGGTTCTAATATGTCTCAAAAGAAAAAAACAAACAAACCCACCAATAATAACCTAACTGTAGTCAAATAAAGATACCCTTACTTCTCTGATTCTGGCAATTGGCAAACTGCTCATATTTGGAAGGTGAACTTGAACACTCAACAGCGGGACGTAAGGAGCAATATTAATCAGCTCAGAATGTGGGCCTACATACTCTATATGGCATCCAGTACTATGCCTGAGCATATAAATCAAACTACGCCTAAGCATGTAACATTTTAAATTCAAATCCTCCTGTTATGCAAAGAAAAGAGATTCATGACTTAGAATCCTGACTCAAAATAAAACAAACCAGGGTAAATCAACACTTAAACAAAATGATGCACAAAAACTTCAAATCCAGGAGATAAATTGAGGAGAACTCTAACATGTCATTCATAAGTTGTTCTTTTGGAGGTTAGGGCCAGAAAGTTTCTAATCAGATGTGGGAAACATCAGTATAACAACACACAGCTAATAATGACCCGAATGTTTTCCTGGCAGCAGTTTCCATTTAAACTAAGAAAAACAGGGCAGGGAGGGGGGGAAGCCAGCTCAGTCAGCAGAAAAACACACTAGTTTTTTTCAAAAATATAGTTACAACACAGAACCAGCAAATCCCATCATATAACACCAGCAGCTAACCAACTCTTGGAGTCAAACACAGGGGCCAAACACAGTCCCCGCGCACCCACCTCAGCCCAGCACCACGGAGATGGGCACTGCAGCATGCTCTGAAGGTCAACATTCCCAGGCCCTGCTCTTACGTACTGGTTTTATGTGTGCTTCCCCTATTTACCGCAAAATAACGGGGCTGAAAATCGCCCACCGAGCCGCGGTTCGCTCCAGGAATTAAAACACCGAGGAGAACTCCCGGTCGGGGGGAGGGGGACAAAAACCACGCTCCGCTCTGCACGCCTGCAGCGACACAGAGGCTGCTGAGGACAGGGATGGAGGGAGGCAGGGAGGGATCCACCGGGCGGAGGGACCTCGCTGGGCATCACGCCAAGCGCTGACAGCACGTTTCGTCTCCATCCCGCTACTCGGCCCCCAGCCCAGTCCCCAGGGCCGAGCCACAGCCAAGAGGCGCTTTCTTCCCTCGCCCTGTCCCCCCACCGCTGGGAACCCCCCTTTCGCATCCACCCCTGCCCAGGGTGCGGGTTCGTGCCCGCCCTTGGGGCAGGTCCTTACCTGCATCCCCGGCAGCCCCGTCTGCACGGGGGAGTGAGCCATGGCGGCGGGCAGGGAGGGAGGCAGGGAGCCGGGTCTCCTCAGGCGGCTCCAGGCCACAGAGCTGAGCTCATCTCCACGCTCTCACACACACACAGCGCCGCCGCCGCCGCCGTCCTCCTCCTCCTCCTCCTCCTTCTGGCCCTTCCCCCGGGCGAGCAGCGCCTGTGCGCCGGCGGTGGGAAAGGGGCAGTCCCGAGCGTGGGCTCTCCAGGCTCCCGTCACGGATGCAACAGCAGCAGCTTCCTCATCCCTCCTCCTCCTCCTCTTCTTCCTTTTCCTCCTCCTCCTCCTCCTCCTCCGGGCTGTGCCAGCGACACGATGACAAACCTGAGGCGGGGGGAGGAGGAGGAGGAGGAGGAGGAGAAGCGGCAGTGGCAGTCCCGCCTCTTCTACCCGGCTACCTGCCCGCCCCGCCCCGCCCGGTGTCCCCCCTTTTCCCTCGCGGGCAGCGGGATGGAAGAAACCCTAGGAGTGGTGTGGCATGCCCCTTTCGTGCCTCCCCTCCGCCTGGGTGCTCCAGGGAAGGTCACGGTAACGCTATCGCTCCACCGAGGTCTATGGTTTCAGGAAGCGCTTGACTTCCTGTCAGGAGTTGCAAAAGCGCTAAACCAGAACGACAGTCGTGTTGCTCCAGTAGCTCCTGGACGGGAGCAGAGCATGACAGCAGTCAGGGCTCCCACACACCGCGGAAGCCCTGGACACAGGCACACCACTTGAGAACCTGACAATGTTCCATTTCCCGTCTTTATTACAACTGAAATTCAAGAGCTCCATCACACCATTTCCAGTGTACCATGGAATGCCCTACAGTTCTCTCCTTTACCCTCCTCCTTCCCACGCCCCTCCTCTCCCCCCCCCCCCCAAAAAAAAAAAAAAAAAAAAAAAGGCGCCAGGGAGTTACATGAGTATTAAAATTATTGAAACCTGTCAGCCAGCGGTCTGGGGTCCATAGGACAGTGTGGGTCACTGTATTTTCAATTGATTTTAAAAAATGAAGGGAGGATCCACTGCATCATTAATTACTTTTCATTGGATAATTCATTAGAGTTTGTACAAGTATCTTAGCTGAAAGAAACACTTTAGCATACAAAATGGTCTTACTGAAAAGTGGTTGGAACTCCCACTGAAGTTTTTCCTACAGTTATGATACTCTTTCTTGTCTAATGTGGGCTGAGTTTATGCTATGCAATTTTGTTTTCCTGAAGCTTGTAGACACATAAATGTTCCTAAGATTTCTACATCTCAGTACAATTCAAATAAAATTAGCTAACAGCTTTATGCAGGCAAGTATGTGTGCACATGCATACACACATTGGTTGTTTACATAAGAAAATAGACTAACTATATCAGCTCTTGAGTACAGTAAAACACATAAAGGATGATGGCTAGAAATTGTGTAAAAAATTAAACTACTGGAATTCGGTTTTCAGTTGTTCATGAAGGAGGTGATAGTTTGCTTTATGCTGGAATTAAATTTAAATTCTGTGGGTTTTAGCTAGAGGAAGTATGAATGAAATTGTATTTTCTACGTATTCTTACCGGTATGTCATTTTCTAAGAAAGGTAAAATCTTCTATTTGAGTTTTACTTCAGTCAAAAGCCAAATAACAGTCACAAAAATCAGTATCAAAGCTTTCTGTTTAGATTGTTTTCTAAAGCATTTTTGCAATCTTCTTTCTTTAAAAAAAATAGAGTTTTGGTATCTCCATGATTGTTCCACTGATTGCAGTAAATTTTCCTTGCTTGCTACAGAGAAAGTCAATGGACTACAAATGACGCTTGTCCTTTGTCCCTTGAATACCATTGAGTGTTCACTACCTCATGTAATATTAAAAATCCTCATTGAGAAAATGTCAGTTTTACTATTGCCTGTAGAGCTTTATTTTTGCTCTTTTCTATATAGTCATTATGATACAGATTTTATCATCTCCTTACTTTTTTCTGCAATTGCACATTTAGTACAGAGTCAAAAAAATGTAGACAAGTAAGTTTTATCTTTTGTATTATGAAAGGTATATAGCTATTATTTTCTGTACATTAGTATATTCTTTGAGACTTAAATGATTTTCATAAGGAGCAGATACTTGATTTGATAGAGTTGCTTCTGGTTTGTCTTGTTAATTTCCTTTCCACATTTAGGTTGTAGATTCTCTAGCTCAAGGCACATAAGCACAGAAAAGTTCCCATGCTGCTCTGAAATAACTTCCACTGTGGAAGCTCCTGGGCTAGGGCCACTGTGAGGTCTCTCTCTTGCTTGTCTTGCTGTCTTTCAGTAAAGATCATGCATTTATTTCATCTCAAGGTTTTGAAGTTCTGTGTTACGTGTTCAACAAGAAACTGTGCCTAAAAAATCATAGTTTGAGCCAGTGTAATAAGCTGTATGGGCAGATTTACTTGTCAAATGCATGAAATCAAAGGAGCAGATTCAAAACTCTATGTCATAAACCAGGTACCAGTCCAAGTTCTAATGAAGTCAGAACAATGTATTAGAACATCTAATTTCTGTTAGCTTCTATATTTCATCCTGTGCCACATGTTCTAATATAATTCCAATTTCTCCTTGGACTGCAGAAATTTTAAACAAATAGTAATTGTAAAATAATGTGTTTGCTGTTTGTTTTATAAATGCTAATCCTTCAGTCTAAATTTCAGCTACATCCTCACAAACTAAATAGCAGAAGACTTTTCCTCTCCTTTTCCCAACCCTTTCTGGTTTTTTTCTCTTTTCTGAGGGAAAAAAAAAAAAGATTTTATGTATTATACTCCAAAGAAAGACTACCCTTGCAGAAATATTCATTAAAAATAGAATGATTACATGTTTCCAAACCATCCCAATACAATGACTGAGACTTCAAAAATAAGCAGTTCTTATCATTAAGATGGTTCCCTCTTGTATCTTTTTGAAGCCAGATGTTTCCAGCATTAAAAGGTTCAATTTATTTTATGTGTTGACTTCTCAATAACTGTTTTGCTTTCATTTAACATGATACTTTGAATATGCAGAGATTTTCTACTTTGCTGGTTATATAAGAAAAAAGTTACAAAAGAAAAATATAATTACATAATTGTAAGGGCAGCAACTATGAACTTCTGCTTATAAACTATCTGTGAAGAAAAAATGCTTTCCTTACTGACAAAACCTGAAACTTCTCAAACGAGCAACATCAGATCTCTGGGGTTTTCTAAGAAGAAAGGTGTACCAGAAACTCAGCTCTTTTTGAATTTATAATGTACCATAAATAAATAATTAATCAATCATATCTTGAAATAAGTATCTGTACTACAAAAAAGCACTATGGTCTATAACAAGTGGGACTTCCCTTCAAATAGGGTTGCATTTGTCCGTCTTGTATGGCAGCAGGGGCATCCTGCTGTTCTTGGCCTGAGGGCTGTAGAACAATTAACTCACCATAGAATAATTAAATAAACATACCAGACTGTTCTCTGCGCAGCATGTTACTATATTTTTGCTTGCTTCCTTATCCACCTTTATCCACCACTACCTTTTGTCTTTCTTGCTTCCTGTTTCTACACTTTCTTGGCTGAACCATTTCTTAGTAAACTGTTTTAAGAAAATGTAAGAATGTGTCATTTCTTCTCTTTACTGTATATATTAGGCTCCTAGTCCTATCCTTTTCTTACTTACCCTGTTAATAATCTGATGAACTATGTACACAAAATTGAATTCTCAATAGTTTGCCAGTAAGGCTTTATTTTGAATATTTATATTGTAATGGCGTGACACTTGCCTGTATCATACAGTGCACAGCAACTTTAACAAGGCTCTTCACAAGTGGACCTTTAAGAATTTAAGTGTTCCTGAGGTGAAAGGGGAGGTCTTCACGTGGATCTCTAACTGATGATGGAGAGGAAAGAAAAAACAAAAAACATTTCACAGAGGAGACTGCTACCAGTAGGCTGTCACAGGACCAGTCTGAGACCTATCTTGCTCAGGATATCCAGGAATGACCTAGAAAAGAGGCTAAAGAGAAATGGCAAAATAATCTCATATTGCCAACTATCATCAGGAAGACACTAAAACAAAACCCAAAGAGTTGCAGAAAAATGTCAGAGTGAGTGACTGCTAAATGACACGCTAGCAGATAGGAGTTCAGCATTGTAAACTATACATGAGGAAAAATATAAGGAAAAAGAGCTTAGCTTTACCTACTGAAGTTCCTATTAATCAAGAAGGAAATCTTGACTGTCACTGATTCCAAATCAGTCAAAAGATATGTTGGGATTTATTAGGAAAGGAATAAAAAATAAGGGGACAGCATTGTTATGTCTCAGTATAAATCTATGCTGCTCCTACAGACTGTAACTTCCATTTCCAAAATTATACTATTGCATAGAAAATAATACCAGAAAATAATACCAGAAAGGGCAGAATACAGATCAAATATTCAGAAAAATATCTCGATGTATAATTAAGTACGCTTAAGAAAGATACTTTCTATGTGTGTAGCAGAGTTCTGTTACCTCATGAACGGCCTGGAGAAAACTGGAGTGACTATACATGTTTTCTTATATCAAGAGCTGTTGGACAGAAACTTTAAAATAAAGTAAAGCAGGTAACAGCATAACTGAATAATGGAGCTCACTGTCCTAAGATCTGGGGGAGAGTTTGCCCAGAATGCTGCTTTTCTTTGGAGTCACCTTAAGGATATTTACAGCACCTATATTCTGACATTCTTCTACTGTGATGAAGGAGAAATGCACATTTTCCTGTTAATAACAAAAAATATCCCTGTGTTGTCCAGGACTGATGTTTTTCCTGCCTGTAGGTGTGTTTCCAGTGTGCTTCCAAATGATGCAGCAATCATACACTACAAAACAATGGGGTTTTTCTATGTTTCCATCAAAATTTGAAAATGTCAGTTTTTGGTGGAAAATGATGTCCCTTCTACAAAGTTTGTGATGGAGCCCTTCTTCCTCTCGAGATGCCACGGGTAGTCCTACAGCCATGTATTTCTTCCAGCAAAGGAAGCTTATGTAGCTTCAAAAGCACACAGGTTGCCTTCCACACCTGGATTTGGCTGTGCATTTACATTCTGGTTCAACAAGC